TGGATGTACAAACATTGACCAAATATAGTAGTCTGTGTGTTTGGATGTGGATGTACAAACATTGACCAAATATAGTAGTCAGTGTGTGTGTGTGGATGTACAAACATTGACCAAATATAGTAGTCAGTGTGTGTGTGTGTGTGTGTGTGTGTTTGGATGTGGATAGTTGACCTGTACAACTAAGGGCAAAATGTTTAGGAATACAGCATGATAGAAAATAAACTTATTTTCTTTAAAATTGAAAAATTACATAGAAATAATGCTTTGTACATAATTTTTGTAGTTGTGACAAGGAAACCCTAATTAGAAGGAGGTTTTTATGAGTTTAGGTAAAGCTGTGGGGGTTTTGTCAACTAACTTATTAAGTACTGTACTGTAAATCTATAAGAACGGAGAATTTGAAGCACCTTGTACATGTTTATTGATATTTTAGGTTTTTGATATTAGTTGAACAGAGATTTTCTCTAAAAGTATTCATTGAATGGTATTACTAGAATATATATATTGTTAGTAAAGCCAATTTAGAGTATACTGTGATCAATTATTTTGGGTTTGAAAGAGTTATATTGTTGAGACTGAATAACTTTTAACATACACTAGTTGATATATACGTGTTCAACCGAAGGGGAAAGCATATATACGTCCACGGATGTGTGGCGAACAAGCTCAAAGGGTACATGTTAGGTTTGGTGACAATTGGTGCAGTATTTCACCAGTTACAAGCTGACTTTTGTTAAATAATGGTTTAGATTGAGAAATGAGGGTTGATTGATGATACACTTGGAATTTATGGATGTAAATGAGTTATTGATTTGGAAGTGGTTCTTGTTCATGTCAGGTTGGAAAAATAAAGGTTAGTAAGGAGTGGCGTAAAAGAATAGTTTACAGCACGTGAATGAAGTAGTTCAGAAAATAGACATGATGTTCTAATTTATACCCAGTCTGTGTAATGTATAAGTACGTAGAAATCTCACATTTTCTTTTTCTGTAGAGAGAAATAATAATCATGAACATTAAGTTTTACTTTTTTTTAGTGTAAAAATTAAAATAAACCTTTTGAGTACTTCAGACATTTTGAATAAAAAAAGTAACTTATTTGTTCAGCCCACCACACACACAGTGGTTTTAGGATTTATAGAAATTAAAAGGTCTCACTGCTTTTATACTTAAAGCTAGGCCTATATTGTTCATTAGGCCCAGTGACAACTTCTGAAGTGGAAATTCTAATAAAAGAATTTGGATTGCATAAACGAAAGCCCATTTTTTTAAGAAATTTCATTCTAGGTCTCGTTGTTGTTGTTGCATTAAATTATTTACTACGATAATTTGATGTTCAAGCATAGTTTGAAAAAGACAAAAGGTTAATGTCGCTGTGAAAGAAGATTTTTTATTTTATGTTGTGGTGAAAGTTATCTGAACTTTTGATGTTTACGTTCTGAAACATTTTGATTTGTAAATTTTGACTGTGCTGTAAATGTACTTGTTTTTAGAATCTAATAAAATTATAATATGAGGTTTATATTCATTATACTGCCCCCTGGTGGCTTAGTGACAGGCGTGGGGGGGGGGGGGCTTGTAACGCTAAAAATTAGGTTTTCATAACCTAGAGTATGCAGCACGGGATAGCCTATTGTGCATATTTGTGTATAAAACAAACAAAGACACATTCTTCTACTACTAATTTGAACCTAGATTATCAATTTGCATTTAAAACAGTTCACACAACTGTCTTGAACCTGGATTATAAGTTCACATTTACTAGTTTACACTAATGACTTGTACTAAAATTTGCACCTTGTGTAGGCTTTACGTTGTTGATTAGAACCCAATTAAAGAACTTTTTATACAAAGTAATGATTCTTTAAAATCCATTATTTATTTGTTTCTTTTTTTAATTAAATTGAAGTACGATTATACAATATGGAAACGTTTTTTTTGTAAAGTATATTCAAAACATAAGTACATTGTGACCCTTAGTATGCAGTTCTAAAGTACTTAAACGTATGCTGATAAAGAGTGCAGGATTATATTGCCAGTTGGACTTTTTTTTTGTTGATTTTTTTAAAAGTATTTTATCAAGATTTTTATATATATATATTGTTTATCAAGGGTAAATTTATTGTAATATTGCAGCAATCCGCTTGGGATAATTATCATGGGAGTATTTTGCCTTGAAGGCATTAGAATTTAGTTATTTTAACTGTCCAAATCTAATTATATGTATATTTTTGTATTATATGTTTTTTTGTTTTGTTTTTTGTAATTAAACAGCTATGAAAAGTATTTCTGCAAAATGTCTGGTTACTGTGTGAAGTCCGTCCAACAATTTGATCAATAAAAAAAAAGATATTCTTCAAAAAAAACAATAAATTTATAAAATAGCAAGGAATAATCAGTTTTCTACATTTTAACACCCAGAAAGCCCAACCATTATTATAAGTCGGTGACATTCCCGAGTTTATTTTTATGGAAAGCGTCACGTGATTTATGTAAATATCTACTGATGGAGTCTATGGTCACGTGGTACTACCGAGATTGCAACCCAATAACTGACCAGAACACGTTTATTAATAAAGCACTTCGGACACTAATGCAAGCCGTACATGGATGTGGCTTGCTTAAAATGAGTAGATCAAATTAAATACCGGAGTAATAATGGTTTACTCGGTTCATCAAACACTTGTTAGAGAGAGGCACGTGATGACAAGCGTCTTCCTGGATGCATGCCAATCAATGGCCTCATTTTCCAGGAAGTTTCTGAACAGTTACCGTCCATGAGAACAGCTAGCTACATATGATCAGCCACCAATACTAAAACCTTTGTATTTAAGAGTATTAAAACCAGTTATAGATTAATAAAATGTGTGCTTTATGTTTTTTTTGTCCATTTATATGTATGAAGTTTTTTACAGAAGTTATTTTTTTTAGTTAATAGGCCTCTACGTACTTAAAACGTGCAACATCCGTAACGTTAGTAACTACATGAAATGGCAAGATATTTGATAGATCTAATTATATACCAATGAAAGTGTATACATATACTTTAAATGCACGAACTTACAAAAACGTCCAAAGATGTTCAAAATGTCCGTTTGGGCAGAAGATTGGCCATATATATATATATATATATATTCTGTTTTGATTTCATAAATTTTGAAATTGGTCGGAAGTGGCCCAAAGTTCATACGAGAAAAATTCATATTTGGAGCATTCTCTTCTATTTAACATTTGATAGTTACTCAA